GAAGGAGCGGGGAGGAGGAGGAGAAGGAGGAGGAGCGAGGAGGAGGAGCAAGGAGAGAGGAAGGAGGGGGAGGAGGAGGAGGAGGAGGAGGAGGAGGAGGAGGAGGAGGAGGAGGAGGAGGAGGAGGAGGGGGAGGATGATGGAAGAGGAGAAATCATGTGGGCTTCGGGGCAAATTCTGATGCCTCTGGGAACCAAGGGGCGAAATCCGAGTCGAGCGAAGCGGTCACGGTACTTCATGGGGGGGAGTGACAGGGTCGCCGCCATTTCGAAGGAGACGGGGGGTGGAGACCCAGAAGACCGACGCTGCGATTTTTTCCAAAAGCGCCCCCCCACCCGTGCCCCTGCCAGATGACTCACACACCCCCTCCCCGGGGAACGGGTCTTTACCTCAAGCCTTCCCTCGACAGTCCCAGGGATTCCGACACTGTGAACAACTCCTCGTCGTGTTCTTTTCGCGGTGGGTGGGGTGGGGGTTCTCACGCTGTGCCAGAGCGGGGCCCACGTCACGGCAGGAGGCTGCCGCAGCTTCGCCCCGTCCTCAGGTCATCGAGTCGGACTTTGCCCGCCTCGAGGCGGAGACCAAGGCGCCCACTGTGTGTGCGTGTGTGTGCGTGCGTGACCACTGCGAGGGGTCACGCTCTCGGGGAGCACCGAGAGCGAGGCAGGCAGGGAAACACTGGGCAGGGAGGCGGAGAGGCAGGGAGGGCTGCGAATGGCTGCGGCGAGTGGCAGGCCCTGTGTGCTCGTGTGGGGCCTTTGAGGCGAAGCGCTGCTGCAATCCCGCCAGTCCCACCTGTGCAAACATTTATCCCGACCCATCCCCCACCCCGTTCCAGTCCGCTCCCCCCGCCACCGCTCCAGTGCCTGCTGACCTGGCTTCCGTTGGCCAGCCTCTGTCTCCCCTTTCCCATCATATTGTGTGTGAGTGTATGTTTTTTGTTTTCTTTTGTTCAGATTTGTTTTTTTTGTCAATGTTTGTTCGCCCGCCTCCGCGCGTGCACGGCCTCGGCACCTTTTTCGCATCCGTTAACCGCTTGTCGTTTGGTGTCCTGTTGGCACACGTTCGGCGATAATCAGGTTAGCGCATCCCGCTGTTGCCTTCGCTGTGTTGGGCCAGCCGTCCGCGAAGGAACAGGAGGTGGAGGATGGGTAAAGCGAGGTGGAGGAGGAGGAGGAGGAGGAGGAGGAGGAGGAGGAGGAGGAGGAGGAGTATGTGTTTGGCCCTTCTCTTTCCTGCCTTCCGTGCTCCGCTCTGCTGTCTCGTTTTTGTCGCTGTGCTCTCGGCCGGCCCCCCCCCCGCCTGCTCTGTCCGGGGCCTCCTCTTCCGCCTGCTCCTCCTCTGGCCTTGTGGAGGACGATCAGTGGAGAGGAAGCATGCTGCCAAATAATCTCCAGAAGTCTAAAACATGTTTCAACCATGTTTCCAACATGCTTCAAACATGGTATACATCTTGTTGTCAAACAAATGTAAGAACATGTGTGAACCGGTTTTAGAACATGTATTACACATTTGAAGCACATTTAAAATTCAATTACAGGACTGTTAGGGTGTCCATTGTCGTGGCATCCACAATTCTGGCCCATTTGCCTGCTCACTCGCCACCTCCTCCACTGTGCGCAGCTGCCCTGTTTCGATGGCGCATAACGTGATGCAAAATTTGCCATTTTGGGATTTCCAGGTCCGCCACGACACCCTTCGGCTCATCGAACAACAATCAGCGAAATGGGAAGGGATGGGTGGGGGTGATATCAGATATGGCGCGAGCGCACCTAGCTTGTGCCCCTCCTCTCTCTATTTGCCTTCTCCTTCCCCTCCTCCCTGTTCGTTCCGCGCGGCTCACCTGCCGAGTCGCCGTCCCACTGGAGGCGCGGCGCTCGTCAGGGCCCCGAGGCGGCCTTTTGGTGGCGGACTTGTCCAGGGCGCCCCCCCCCCCCCCCCCGTAAAGTTGATAAAACCGTGTGTGCGTCATCACTCCTTTCTACCGTTTTTCACGTCATCCATGCTGTTACAGATCTTACTCTCTGTTGTCGTGTCAGAAGATAATGCGGGCGCGGGGAAGCGTTTTTCGAGGCTTGCGGACGGGGATATCCTTTGTTATGGTCGTTTATGAATTGATGGCTTTTGTGGCGGATGGCAAATTGATTCCTTTGTGGTAGACTGCAAGTTGAATATTTTTGTTGTGGACTACTATATAATTCTTTTTTGGGCGGATTACAAGAAGGATTCATTCTATGGTGGATTACATTTGTATTCTTGTGGGGGGTATCTAGGAGGAGACCAGGGTGATACAAACGGACAACAAATTTTTAAACCCAACGATTTTGATTTTGTAAACATTGCTGTGTTTTCGAAGTTTTTGGCGTTGGAGGCTTACAGCAATCATGACAACACAGTGTTTCCAGCCAGATGCTGAGAAAGCTGTGGTCCCTTACTTGTTTTAAGCGTCCGATGCCAAACACTTGTTGAAACCATTGCAACTTGCACAAAATCATATGTTTCCCTCCCCCCTGGCTTCCTCTTAAGTACCCCCAACAGAATCCATGTGTAATCCGCCACAAAAGGATTCCTTGTGTAATCAGCAGATTCAATGTGTAATCTACCACAAAAGGAATCAATAGGTCATCCGTCACAACAGAAGGAATCCTATTGCAATCCACAACGCACAGAATTCCTTCGTAATCCGCCACATCAGGAATTAATGTGTAACCCGCCGCAAACAGGAATCCTATTGCAATCCATCGCAAGGGAATCCGTTTGTAATCCGCCACAAAAGGAATCAGTGTGTAATCCGCCACAAAGGAATCCTTTTGTAAGCCGCCACAAAAGGAACGAAGTTGAAAACCGTCGCAAACAACAATCTCATTGTAATCCACCAGAAAAGGGATAAACTTGTAACCCGCCTCGAAAGAGATCAATTTGTAAGCCGCCACATAAGTAATATTATTGTATTCCGCCACGAAAGGAAACAGTTTATAATCCGTAGTAGTAGTAGTAGTAGTAGTAGTAGTAGTAGTAGTAGTAGTAGTAGTAGTAGTAGTAGTGATAGTAGTAGTAGTAGTAGTAGTAGTCGTAGTAGTGGTATTATTATTATTAGTAGTAGTAGCAGCAGCAGTGGCAGTGACAGTAGTAGTAGTGGTAGTAGTAGTAGTAGTAGTAGTAGTAGTAGTAGTAGTAGTAGTAGTAGTAGTAGTAACAACAGCAGCAGCAGCAGCAGCAGCAGCAGCAGTAGTAGTAGTAGTAGTCGTAGTAGTAGTAGTAGTAGTAGTAGTAGTAGAATTAGTAGTGGTGGTAGTAGTAGTAGTAGTAGTAGTAGTCGTCGTAGCAGTAGTTGCAGTAGTAGTAGTAGTAGTAGTAGTAGTAGTAGTAGTAGTAGTCGTAACGAAAGTTGTGGTGACGTGGTTTAAAGTGTTTATAACGATCCGTCCAGGTGATGGTGCTGCTGATGATGGTGATTGTGTTCTTCCGTCGGTCAAGTTGGTAACGGTGGACGTCGCGGCGATCATGGCGAAAGTGATGTCGCCCCCCACTGAGGTGTCCAGGTGGCGTTGGTGATTGCGCTGGTTGCGTGGGGGCGGCCAACCATCACCACCAACCTTCGTAAGTATCGCGCCAGTGGGGCAACCGCCACCTTCGTCATCACCACCTTTACTACCCCCCCACTAAGACCACTGTCTGGACCGCCGCTATCGTCTTCATCATCCACAACCGTCATAGCAAGCACAATCGCAGCTTCTACAGCGACCGCGATGTGTACCACCACCATAACCAGTAGCAGCAGCATCGCCTGCGTCGCTAAGCTACAGTAAATCACAATATAGTCCACTGCTGTCAACATCATCAACATAACCACCAAGACAATCACCATCACCGCTTCTGTCGTGACTGCGATAAGTACCACCAACACAATCCGTAGCAGCAGCATCACCCCAATCAGTTGGCGCCGCCGCCATCACTTCCCTACTTACCTCACGGATGCCATACATCTGCTTTGCTCCTTCAATTTGCTTTCGCTGCCCTGCGGCGCCTCGAAGTGGTGATGATGATGGTGATGATGATGTTGATGATGGTCCTGGTGGTTGTGGTGATGGTGGTGGTGATAACGATAATGAACAAATTGTGGTGGTTGTGGTGCATGGTCGCAATGACATCATGGTGATCGTGGTGGTGGCGCATAGAGGAGGAAACATCTAATGAAAACGATGATGGAGAGGAAGCAATGGATGAGGAAGCGAGAGAGAGAGAGAGAGAGAGAGAGAGAGAGAGAGAGAAAGAGAGAGCGAGAGAGGGAGAGGGAAAGAGAGAGAGAGAGAGAGAGAAAGAGAGAAACAGAGATTACGAGAATGACGAAGAAGCAGGTGACACGAATCACCCAAAGCCGCACACAATAGAAATCAAGGTGTATCGGATTTGCAAGTTGATTCCCTTTCTGGTGGATTTGCAAGTGGATTCCCTTTGTGGTGGGTTTCACGGCGGCAGTTTTACAAGTATATTCCCGTTGAGGTGGCTTAGTGCATGGTCGCAATGACATCATGGTGATGGCGGTGGTGGCGCAGAGAATAGAAGAGGACACCGAAATGGAGATGGCGCTGAGGAGGAATAGGAGGATGAGGAAGAAAGAGAGAGAGAGGGGGAGAGAGGGTGAGAGAAAGACCAGCAAAGACCAACACCGTAAGAAGGAAAAGGAGGAATACGACGCGAATCCTACACGGCCGCACACAATCTAAATCAACTTGGCAGTGTTCCCATGGCGGCTTCGGGAGATGTCGGCACACCCCTCACGAGGATCGTGGCCCCATAAAGGGCTCCACCGAAGGCCCCAGTGGCAGGGTTCGCATGGCGGCCTCGGGTCATCTCGGCACACCTCTCACGAGGATCGTGGCCCCATAGAGTGGCTCCACCGAAGACCCCAGTGGCAGGGTTCGCATGGCGGCCTCGGACGATGTCGGCATACCTCTCACACGCTTCATGGTCCCATAGGGAGCTCTGACTGAACGCCCCGGTGGCAGCGCCCGCATGCGTCCCCCGCCCATTTCGGCACAACCCACGCACGTTTCGAGGCTCCCATCCGCGTTGCCCCGTGCTCTTTCGCTCTTGCGACGCGCTACTAATGATGAGAGGGGCATATCTTGTGATACTCGCAGCTGGATCTGGATGGGTTCTTTGCCAGGCTAATATTTCCCAGCCATCCTGTGGTGTTGGGTCCTCGTTTTGAACAGACAGCGCCCCGCGTCTCACTCCTCCTCCTTCCTCCTCTCCCTCCTCCCTCTTCCCCCTCCTTGCATCTGCCTTCCGCATGTATCGGTTTCGACACACCCCTCACATGTTTCATGGCCCCATAAGAGCTCCATCGAAGGTCCACATGCCAGCGTTCGCATGCGCCCACCGCATCCATTTTGGTACACCCCCATACGTTTCGTGGTTCCATAAAGAGCTCCACCGACGGCCCCAGTAGCTGCGTTCGCATGCACCTACCGCACCCATTTTTTGGCACACCCTTACACGTTTCGCGGCTCCATTTGGAGTTCCACCGACGGCCCCAGTGGTTGCGTTCGCCTGCGCCCACAGCACCCATATTGGCACAACCCTCACACGCCTCGTGGCCCAATAGGGAACTCTTCTTTTTTTGCCAGAATCTACTTGCCTGCGACGTAGACGTCAAACCAAAGCTTCGCACCAAGATGCAAATTAACCCGCGCCTAGTCGAGGCTGAATTGCCGTCGAGTGCAAAACGCTTGTGCGTGCGTTCCAGTGAAGACCATTCCTGTTCAATTGAACAGTCCGCATGTGCGGAATCGTTCTATTCCAGTTTCGCCATCATTGTACAATCGTCGTCGCCGTCGCCATATCGATAGCTTCGAGTTTTGTTAGGAGTGCAACGATTCCACAATAACGTACCTTGCGATACTACGGAAACGCACGTATGACGCACACACGATTTTATCAACTCCCCCCCCCGGTGCATATATCGAAGGGGCAAGACTGCGCAAACATAGACATTCGGAGCTCCGCGCGGATTGCTCTGATCTGCGCTGACCCCCCACCACCCCTGGCGGCGCTGGTGGCGCGCTCTGCGCGCCAGGGAAGGGATCCAGCGCGGATCCACGAACTCCGCGCGGATTTCCACAAGTTCACGTGTGTGCCGTTTATTTTGCTTGTTTTTTTTTGGGGGGGGGGGTCCTCCATACCTGCCACCGCGGCGCTCCCTCTCTTGGTGGTGGTGGTGGTGGTGGTGCTGCTGCTACTCCTCCTCCTCCTCCTGCTCCCTCCTCTTCCTCCCTCCTCCTCCTCCTCCTCCTCCTCCTCCTCCTCCTCCTCCTCCTCCTTCCCTCCCTCCTACCCCTCCTCCCCCCTCCTCCCTCCTCCCTCCTCCTCCTCCTCCTCCTCCTCCTCCCTCCCTCCTCCGTCCTCCTCCTCCCTCTCCTCCTCCCTTCTCCTCCTTCTGCTGCTGCTCCTCCTCCTCCTCCTGCTCCTCCTCCTCCTCCTCCTCCTCCTCCTCCCCGCCGAGGCGTCGCCCGCCTCCCCACGTGCGCGCCCCTCCAGGGGACCGACGCTCGATCTAACGTGGGGAGTCCACGTCGGCCGCGCGCAGAGAGGGGGTACAGTTAAGTCGGGCCTGTCCCCCTACAGGGGGATTTTCGACGAAGAATAACAAAATACACCTAAAAATAGTCAAAACATAGTCCAAACATAGTCTGGGAACAAAAAATAGTCCCAAACTAGTCAAACATAGTCCAATAATCCCCCTGTAGGGGGACAGGCCCGACATAAGGGTATAGGGGGAGAGGGGGAAGGCTTGTTAGAATCACACCCTGCTTCTAAGAAGCCTTCCCCCTTCCCCCAACCCCCGTGTGCGCGCCGCCTGTCACGGTTGAGGCGTCGTCGGCTTCTTGGGTGCAATGCCTGAACGAGATTTTGGGCCCTAAGGGGGATGGGGGGGCAGCCAACTATATCACACGCCTTCTTACCCCCGACAAGCGGGGGTCTGCGGATCCATGCCCCCCTCCAGACCCCCGACGTAATGTTTTTTGGTTTTCACAACGTCGACCCCCTGAGTCTTCGACCGATTAGATGTGTTTAACATGTGTAAAGCATGTTCTAAACATGTTGCAAACATGTTTTTCATATATCAAGCATGTTTGAAACATTTTCTAGACATCTGGAAATTATTTCGCAGCATGCTTCCTCTCCATTAATCGACTTCCACAACGCTACCCTTCCCTCGTCATCCCTTTTTTTGGGCCTCCTGGGAGGCCCTCGTCGCCACCGCTGGGTTTGCTTCGAAATTCTGGTCAGAACGCGCCGCAGGAGAGGTCCGGGGATTAGTGGTACCGGTACCTCTTGGTTTCCCCAGCTTCGGCGGCGCGCAGCGCAGAGTCGGGAGCCTTGAGACGGGAGCCGATGCAAACGGGGGTCAGCCAGATCGCCAGATCTGGCAGGATCCCTGCAGAGCCAGGGGCGCATGGATCCGGGCTGGCGCGCAGCATCCTGCAGGATGGGGCAGGCTCTTGCAGGATCCTGCAGAGCTTGACTGGCCCGTGTTTGCATTGACCCGGGACAGTAGATCCCCAGGAGAGGAGGGAGGGAGTCTCCAGGCCTCCTGGAAGGGTCCGCCTTGAGCTCCTGGCGTCCCAACTTCTTCGAGGCGGGCGCCTCCGCCCGGCCGCGGGCCCCTGGGAAACCCTCGCAGGCCGATGCGCCTCCAAGAATGGCAGCGACAGCTGCGGCCCGCGGCTCCTGTCGTGCCTCCTTCCGAGGTTGTATTCTTTTCGAGGCGTCGGACCTCAGGGCGAGTAGATGGGGTCGGAGGATCACCCCGCACGGCCGATGCATCAGCGGTGCGACTCGGTGTGGGGCTCGACTTTCTCCGTGTGCCCATGGCGCCGGTGCATCGCGGAGGTCTCCGATGCATCGCGGATGAGTCGACGATGCATCGGCCATGCGGCGCGATCCCCCGACCCCATCGGACCCCATGTGGGAGGCCTCCAGAAAAGGGGGAAGGATCACTGACCAAGCTTCCAGGTCAACGCTCGGGCGGGCCGCCATCAGACGGTCCTTCGACGGGATCTGGCTAAGGGGGGCACGCTTTGCCTGGGGAGGACATTGGGGATGATAGCGAGGGCATACGCATACGCTGTCTTTCAGCCAGAGGGGGGGAGGGATGGGGAGAGAGATGGAGGGAGGGTTCAGGGGTAGTGCAGAGGATGGGGGCGAGGCTTCGAATGCCCTGAACCTTGTGCCGCCCGTCTTTTTCGTCGCGTCTTGCTCTGTTGCACTTCTCATTATGAGCGTCCTTATACTGCCCTCTTTCCCTCGCTTACCCCGACATCACTTCACTTCCCTCTCGCCTCCCCTTACCCGAGCATACTTTTAATCACGCTTCTTCCGTGTATCCTGATCATTTTTGTCCCTTCGTTTATCATCCCTGCCCTTCTTCACAAGCGTTGGTTTCCTTTATATTTTTCCTTCTTTCTAGGCTCCCCGCGGCTCACAAGGTAAGTGAACATGTAGGGTGCCACTGACAGAGGCGTCCTCGTTCAGATATTGCCAGATCTTGCTAGCAGTCGTATTTTCCAAGCATCCCCCAACGTTTTTGTTTTGTTTGCCGCTCAGGCTTCCGAGGCCTCGGCGCAGAAAGAGTACGACATGTTCATGACCGATCAGACGGCTCGTCGCCGAGCACTCCGACCCCCTGCGGGGCCTGGCAGGAGCACCGGTGGATCTGGCGATGGGCCCTTGGGAGGGTCTGGAGCGGATTACTAGGGGAACAAAAAGTGACATAAACATAAAAACTCGGAGGTCCGCGCGGATTTCTCGGATCGGCGCTGGACCCCCCTCCCTGGCGCGCAGAGCGCGCCAGGGGCGGCGCCGGAGGGGCCGCCGGGGGGCCCCAGCGCCGATCCGAGAAATCCGCACAGACCTTCGAGTTTTTATGTTTATGTCACTTTTTGCTCCCCTAATTACTCTCCCCCGATCTTCGGGTGCTCCCCCTTCCTACGTCACGCTCCAAAGCTCGGCTGTAACGCGCACCAGCAGCCGAGCACCCCCAGGGAATCATGAGCGCGGTGGCGCCCCTGGCGCTGGGAGGCGCTGGGGGAAAGTCAGCCACGCGAGCTGCTTCGTTCACCCCCTCTTTGCCGACCCTCCCCCCAGTCGCCCGACCCGAGAGGAGGGAGGAGGAGGAGGAGGAGGAGGAGGAGGAGGAGGAGGAGGAGGAGGAGGAGGAGGAGGAGGAGGAGGAGGAGGAGGAGGAGGAGGAGGAGGAGGAGGAGAGGAGGAGGAGGAGGAGGCGGAGGAGGAGGAGGAGGAGGAGGGGAGGAGGAGGAGGAGGGGAGGAGGAGGAGAGGAGGAGGAGGAGGAGGAGGAGGAGGAGGAGGAGGAGGAGGAGGAGGAGGAGGAGGAGGAGGAGGAGGAGGAGGATGGAGGAGGGAGGAGGAGGGGAGGAGGAGGAGGAGGAGGAGGAGGAGGAGGAGGAGGAGGAGGAGGAGGAGAGGAGAGGAGGAGGAGGAGGAGAGGAGGAGGAGGAGGGGAGGAGGAGGAGGAGGAGGAGGAGGAGGAGGAGGAGGAGGAGGAGGAGGAGAAGCAGGAGGAGGAGGAGGAGGAGGAGGAGGAGGAGGAGGAGGAGGAGGAGGGGCAGCCTGGGCGATGGCATTTGCCGACCCTCCCCCCAAGTCGTCCGGCCCGAGATGAGGGCGGAGGGATCGGAGGAGAGACACCGCCATAAGCATAAACTTTTGGCGTTCCGCGCGGAGCGCGCCACAAATTTATGTTTATGGCGTTTTTTTGTGGGAGCAGCCTGTGCGATGTGTATATATATATATATATATGATTATCGTACACAGCGGGGTTCTGGCGCTCGGCGCTCATTATTCTTGCCGTCGTTCCTTCGCTCGTCGCCCCGCAGGCACCCCCTACCCCTGTGTCGTGATGGCCCCTAGAGGGTACCAGGATAGCTCCAAGACCCCCCCTCCTCACCCTGCCTCTCCTGGCTCCCGCCCTCCCTCGTGCAAGAGCAAGGGCATGTGTGCCACTGGTTTTCCCACGTGTGGCTCGATGGGCCCCATTTGTGGGCCAGCGGACTCCAAGGTCGACAAGGAGGCCAAGACCACGGACGGCAATGCGGCTTCAGCTCTATCTCTATTCAGATTCCTAGAGGCAGATGGAGGCACTGCCACCGATAGGTCTGCCCTATTCTTCCAGTGGCTTTGAAAGAGAAAGAAAGGATGCATCCTCGATCGTGCATACAGCATGTGATTTATCCAGTCGCGCTGCCACAGAGCATCACTGCCACGCCGCCTTTGCCGTGGCTGGAGGAGGTTGAGAAGAGGGTGGGGAGGTGGGTGCCCCCTTGAGCCGTCCTGGGGAGGTATTACCCCTGTCTTTCGGCCGCCTTGAAGGCCCCCCCACGGCAGCCTCGGGGCGAAAAGGATGGTCAAGCTCAAGACACAGACCACACCATTCGTTGGTTGATGGCGTCGGCCGTCCAGGGCCTCTCCCGGGCACTCCTGGGGCACCTCTGGAGGCCTCTTGGGAGCTCTCGTGTTTTCCTGGGGTGCTCTTATTCGGAAGCTGGAGCATATACATTACCAGGGGGGGGCGACGTCGGGGTGGTGTGGTGTACACTTTTTTCCCCGTTCTCCCACGGAAACAGCGAAGAATGTATACACCAGGATCCCGTCCATATACACCAGGATCCGCTTTCTTGTGCGAGATTCAGTGTGAGGCCAGAGAAAGGCGTCGGTGTATAGAGTTCGGTTCCCTATCTATGCCGTCCTGACATGCTTCTAGGACTCCTTCCGGCTGTCTTACAGGCACCCGCCAGCGAAAAGCTGCACTTACACGGCTGGCGGGCGGGTCGTTTTCAACATGAGTTTGTTGCTTCGGCACCGCGCACATTCTTTTTGAAAGTTTGTGGCTGTCGCAGGCATGGAGCACACATGTTTTCAGCTTGTGGCGCTCACATTCGCTGTGAATGGTGACAACATAAATGCACGGATAGAGCGACATTCGGTTTTCCAACGGGAATGTGGCTTTGTATTTCTGTGGATCTTATGGCGCGAAATTTAGATGTGCGCCAAATGCGCGGATGGAGGGGGGCTCTTTTTCAACATGGGTGTATCGCACGTGGATTCCTCGAAATGCATGTGGCTACGTCTTGGCACGTATCTTCGCTGCATCGATGGAGGCGGCTTCTTTTCAGAACGGACTCGCCTGAGTGGCAGGCCCCTGTGGCGCTCGTTCTGAAATGGGGGCGCTCTGGGTAGTGAGGCAGAATCTCTATGTGGACGCATGAGGAAGGAACTTCGGGACTGGAGGGTGTCTTGTAGGATTGCTGGTGCACCCCTGGTTATTCTTGTCCTTCTCCTCCTCTCCTCCCCTCCTCCCCTCCTCCCCTACTCCCCCCTCCCTCTCTCTCCTTCCCCTCCCTCCTCCCTCTCCTCCCCTCCTCCCCTCTCCTCCCTCTCCTCCGCCCTCCCTCCTCCCCTCCTCCCCCCTCTCTCCGCCGCCCTCCCCTCCTCTGCCCGTCGCGCTCTCTGCCCGTCGGTCTGCCTCCCTTCCGAGGGCGCCAGGTGCACGCCCGCAGCGATCTTGGCCAGGCCGAGCCTGGGCCCAGGGTCGGCGCGCACGCCCTCCTTCAGGAGGGAACAGGAACACGCAGACACAATTGAGCGTCGATTCCCAGGAACATCTGGGAACATGGGGGAAGTGGGGGGGACGACAAAAACCCAGAACATATGGGAAGATGTGGGGAATCCTCTTATTTGTGTGTGTGTGTGTGTTTATCTGCGTGTCCCAGGGCCCCTTCATGCACTCCTGCCCGCGCTGGGACGAGGCGCAGGCACCGATCCTTGGCCCAGGAAGGGCCAGGGACCAGGATCGGTGTGGGTGCGCAGTGGGCGCCCTCGCTTCTCGTTGCCCCCTCTGTCTAGCCTTAGGTCGGGCCTGTCCCCCTACAGGGGGAATTTCGACGAAGAAAAAAGACCACCAAAAATAGTCAAACAATAGTCCAACAATAGTCAGGGGACTATTTTTTGGGTATTCTTTGACCTTTTTGGGGCATTTGTGGGGTATTTTTAATTTTTCGTCGCTTCGCGTCACCCCACCAGCCCATCCAGAAACGATGCCCAGAGGAAGTGCCTCGATCAGGGAAGTGGGCAGCACACAACGGAAGGGTACCCCAGTGGAGGCCGGTTGGAGCGTCTTAGGGGCCTCTTGGCGGTCCCGGACGTCTCTTAGAGCGTCTTGGGTGCTTTGGAGAGCTTCTTGGGGCCTCTTGGGGGTCTCTTGGGGGCCTCTTGGAGGCCTCTGGGGCGCTTGTTGGGGCCTCCTGGGGCCTCATGGGCGCCTCGTGGGGCCCTCTTGAAGCGCTCTTGGGAGCCTTCAGAGTGCTCTTGGAGCCCTCTTGGGCCATCTTGGAGTCATCTTGAAGCCTCGGATGGCCATCGGAAGCGAAAAGGCGAGAAAGCCCAAAATGTTGATTTTCCGAAGGTTTTGGAAGG